TGAGGGCCTGCTAACCCTCCCTGTGGTGTCTCTGCAGGTCCAGACTCCTTCGTGGAGGGAATCGCCTACATTAAGTCTCAGTATGAGAGCAGGAACAAGTCGCCCAGCAAAGAGGTCTACTCTCATGTGACCTGCGCCACAGACACCAACAACATCCAGTTTGTCTTTGACGCTGTGACGGACGTCATCATAGCAAACAACCTGAAGGGGTGTGGCCTGTACTGAGGGCGCCGGGGCGGCCCAAACGGGCCGGCCTGCTCACAGACTTCTGACCTGCCGAGACTGCTTCCCTCTCTGTCGCAGCTCCTCCTGTTTTTGCTCCGTCCAGCAGCTTCAGGTTTTTGTAGGGCCACTGGTCTCTCTGTGGTCTCTGGTCTCTGGTTTCTCTGGTTTTACTTGTCTCTGGTCTCTCTGGTCTCTATGGTCTCTATGGTCTCTCAGATCTCTCTGGTTTCTCTGGTCTCCGGTTCTCTGGTATATCTGGTCTCTGGTTTCTCTGGTTTCTGGTATCTCTGGTTTATCTGTTTTCTGGTATCTCTGGTTCCTCTGGTTTCTGGTATTTCTGGTTTCTCTGGTTTCTCTGTTTTCTTTGGTCTCTGGTCTCTCTGGTCTCCTCGGTCCTCCTGGAAGCAGGAGTAGGTCTGGGAGCTGTCTGGGAGCCTGTGTGTGGATGAATGAGTGGCTGTTGGCTGGAGAGCGCTTTGGCCTGAGAGGGCTGTGCTGGGGTACTTCCTGACCAGCCTCAAGTCAGGAAGAGCCATATAGCTGCTGACCAGCTGCTGATCAGCTGCCGACCCAGAGCTCCTTCTCCTCTGTCTGAGTCCGCTCAGGATGGGGCAAAAGGTCCACATGCTCCGCCCCCTCTGCACCCTCAGGGGGCGTGGCCACCAGAGCGATGACATCACCAGCTGGCGCCAGATTTCCTAATTAAAGCCGGAGGCTGCAGATGGCATGTGAAGTTTGCACACGCGTGTGCGTTCTGTCCCACGGGCGCTCCGGTGGAGCCAGAGTGTGTGGAACCACTACCCACAATGCACCTGTCTACCCTTTCCACACGCCTCAGGAGCCTTTGAATGTCACCTCCTCTGTGGCTGCTTTGGTTCTGCCTCTCTGAGCTGCTTTTTTGAAGCAGGCCTGTAAAGTCCTACTGGACTGGTCCACTTACTGCCTGACATCATGTGGGTCGGCCAAAATTCTGGTTGGTCGACCCATTTGGTCCAGTCTGTGGTTCATTCCATCAGGAGGAAGGTACCAAGTGCTGATGGGGGGGTTCAGCAGCCTGCCCCCCCCCCCCTGTTTTCTCTGTTTTGGATCAGTCCAACAGGCTGTTGTTTAATTTTTCAGGAATGCAACCATTTAGTAAAGATTGTGTTTAATTGCATTAATTGTGTTATCATTATATTTTCTGCATAAAAAGTCGATCTGGCTTACTGTGGATGGTTTTTAAATGCAAAAAGCTGTGTAATTTTTTTTTAGGTAGGACGTGGTGCAGGGTTGGGCCTTTTTCTGGCCTCCCGGCCTGCTACAATGTGAGAGGAGTGAAGCCAAGTGCCAAAGTCTCCCTGTTTAGTTTTACCCTCCTGATTTCCTGTTCTGCTGTGAGGACGCTGTATTTCTGCCTCTCTGTACCAGGATCCTTCTTTTTCTTTGACCTTTGACCTCTTGGCCTCATTGCAGATGCTATCAGACACTGTTTGAAATATAAAGGAAAATGCTTTTAGACATTTTATCCAAACGGGCCAATGGGAGCAGGACATGCTGTCCCATGTGACCTGAGGAAGGAGAGGATACTATGTGTGATCCATTTAAATGGAAAATCTTTGGGTAAATCCATTGAAAATTGAGCTTTTTAGGTCTTTAGATGAAGGAAAATCATCAGTGTATTCAAAGAGCTCAGAAATCTCAGCTTTAACTGCTTTTTTACTGTTTGAAGGAAAATTATTTGAGACATTTTGCACTAATCATGTTCTTATTGTGGAATTGAAATGTTGTAAATAAGTCATTTGGACCCTCAGAACCAAATAGCAAAAACTTTCTAACTTTCTAAATTTCTAAACAGACATTTTAAATCTAAAGGTAAACCCACTGAGCCTATATGAAGAGACAAAGTTTAGTTAATTAACTTATCAGCTCCTACTGATCCAGAGATCTGGGATAGCCCCAGCCTACATTTCGCCCATCTTTTCCTTTCCCTGTTCCTAATGAGCTGTCCAGCCTCTGCAGAGGTGCTGCTGGACCACAGAGTAGCTGCATCACTGAAGTCCAGAGGAGGCTAATGTTACCCCACCCCCCCCTTTAGCTGGGAGGTTGTGTGTCTGTGTGTGTGCTGTAACTCTCACACTGTGGGATCGTATTTCTACATGTTGATAATAAAGCACCTGATGAGAACCAGAAGGCAGTGCTTATTTTCCTTAGCGTGTGAGAGCAGCCGTTTGTTGGTGTTGGTCCTCCTGCTCTCCAAACTGTGTCTGTTTGTGGAAAATGCTGCTTCCTGAAAGCGGATCCTGCTGTTCCTGAGACGGACACACAGCCGGGTTCAGCCTGTGGAGGCCACGGCGTCTCATTCTGCTGCTAACATCCAGATCTCCCCTCTCTCTCTCTTCACCTCCACCATCATCCATTCTTTGTTTTGTTTTCTTTCATCCCCCTTTCTTCTCCCTTCTTCTGCTCCTTTCATCTCACCTAACCCCATTTTCCTTCTTCACTCTCCATCTTTTCCTCTCTTTTCTGGCCCCGTCTTCTGTTTTCTGCCCTCTTTTCTTTTCTTTCCTGCACTCTCTTGCTCATCCTTCCCTCTCTGCAGAATCGCATGCACGAGTCTTTGATGCTGTTCGACTCCATCTGTAACAACAAGTTCTTCATCGACACCTCCATCATCCTCTTCCTCAACAAGAAGGACCTGTTTGCAGAGAAGATAAAGAAGTCGGCTCTCAGCATCTGCTTCCCTGAGTACACAGGTAGGATTCTCATGCGACAGCTGGTCACATTTAGACAATTTTTTATGCAAAACTGACGACATTAAGAGCTAATTTTAGCCCACATGTCACAGTCATGTTTGGGTTACATGAGTGAACCAGTTTTAGGGAATAATGACGGTTTGAAAGATATGTGGATACAGATGTTTGAATACAGATGCATGAATACACGTGTGGATACAGGATGAATGAATTCAGTTTTTGTCAAGTAATTTTGATTAAAACAAACTAAAATGCACTAAATGCTAAATAATCCCTTGTCAGTGATGAATGATTAGATGTTATTGGCCTCCTGCTCACTAAGGCACACCTGGTCAGTTTTCTCTGCCAGCTTTTGGCAGCAAAGCTAATTCTTTTAATCAAACTGTAATGTATAATTGGAGCTCCATGCGGGATGGAAAAGTGATCTGTCGCAATTAAAGGAGGTCCAGAGGACGTGAGAGGAGTTTTAAAAGCCACCGATTCCTGTGTGTGTTTGGGGGGGGGGGGGGCAGGCCTGACATTTACTGCCTCTGCCTCATAAGCCAACTGAGAAATGTGGCACTTTAGGTCCAAGTGTCTGTGTAGGGCCTGGACTCGGGCAGCCCCATGTTTGAAGAGCTGCACAACATCAGGCTGGAGGGAGATTTACTTTACCGTCTTTGGAGGGAGAGCAGCGACGGGGGCAGGAAGTGGCTGCTCAGACGTTTCTGTGTCCCTTTGTAACCAAAATAGAAGACTCAGAGTCCTGATAGCAGTTTACTATCACCCAGAATCTATTAATACATTTCTGGGACTGAAATACACCTGAGATTGGTATCTATTACCATTTATTATTGCATGGTAGTGTAAATAAAAGGCTGTATAAATATTATTATATACTATTATACACATCTTCCTGAGAGCCTGTTCTCCTGTGAGGACGCTGCATTCCTGCCTCCCTGTACCAGGATCCTGATTTTTTCTTTGACCTTTGACCTCTTGGTCTCATAGCAAAAACTATCAGATACTACTGTTTGAAATCTAAAGTAAAATGGTTTTAGATATTTTACATAAATGTGTGATCCATTTGAATGGAGAGGATCATCTGTGTGGGGAATTCTTTAGAAAATCATTGAAAAATCTGGTCTTTAGATTAAGGTAAATAATAATAATTGAGCTTTTTTAGGTCTTTGTATTAAGGAAAATTATTGCTGTGTTCAAAGAGCTCAGAAATTTCAGCTTTTACTACTTTTTTTATATTTGAAATCTAAAATAGAATACATTTTACATCAATCATGTTCTTAGTGTGGAATTAAAATGTTGTGAATAAGTCATTTGGACCCTCAGAACCAAATAGCAAAAACATTAAATTAAATCTATAAACAGACATTTTAAATCTAAAGATAAACCCACTGAGCCTATATTCAGAAAACTACCTGTACCAGGACAAGGTCTAGTTATTAAACCTATCAGCTTCTAGTGATTTAGAGATCTGGAACACAGCAGAAACCAGATAGAAGCTGGACTCTCAGGATGTTAAATCGACCGTCACATCTAATAACAAATCATCTTAGTAGGGAACTGGAGGAGGACAGTGTTGCTCTGTAGTCCTAGTACCTGGTAAACCAGCTGGACGTGGTAAAAACTCCTGTAATGATGCCTAATGTTCACAGAACACACAGACCTGAGCTCCTGGGTTACATCCTCCCCTCAGCTCACAGAGCAAAGCCTCATGGGAAACACCCTCTGCCTGCCTCAGGTTAGCGTAGGGCTCCTCACACAGATGCTTCCCACATCAGAGCCTCGGGCAGGATGTCTGAGGCCCGCCCTGTTGGGGGACCACCCACCGAGCAGTGCTGACCGGCGACAGCTCCTGCTTCCCACAGCGTCCAGCTGGGGAGTGCTCAGAGTCAAACATGCCCCCTACGTCCAACCCTAAGCCTGCCTCAGGTCACATGACGCCCTGCCTCATCTCATTGGACTGAAGCAGAGCAGGTCTGAAGCAGAGCAGGTCTGATTTGAGCGTGTTTGCAGTGACCTTTATTGTTTATGGACTCCTGCTCAGGAGGGGTTTATGCTTCTCTCGGTTTTCATGACGTTTTTCAGAAATACGCATTTTTACTGAAGGTTTTAGCATGCGGGAGCTAACCGAGCAATTTTAGTACCCGCAGGAGAACCCCTGAAAAAGAAAGAAAATACTTACCTGGAACCTGAAAAAAGAAAATGATACTTACTTGATGGACATGAGGGCCTGGAAATAATAAAAAGGGAGGGTGGAGCATCCAAAACTGTCCAAAATGTGGCAGCTTCACTTCCTAATTTTGTCTCACCCTGAAGGGAAGCCATAAAATGTTCTTTTCAACTAAGCCTGCTTCAGGTCACATGACTCCCTGCCTCGTCTCATTGGACTGAAGCAGAGCAGGTCTGATTTGAGCGTGTTTGCAGTGACCTTAATTGTTTTTGGACTCCTCCTCATGAGCGTTTTATGCTTTTCTTGGTTTTCATTTGATGTTCTTTACAAACACGCATTTTTACTAAAGGTTTTAGCATGCGGGGGCTAATCGAGCAATTTTAGTACCCCCTGAAGGGGGTACCTGAAGGACGTGAGGGCCTGGAAATAATGAAAAGGGAAGGTGGAGCATCAAAAACAGTCCTAAATGTGGCATCTTTACCTCCTAATTTACGGGGATTCCTCCCTTTCAGCTCATTTCTGTAAATGTGCTGTGTCCTGTGGCACCGTTTCCAAGACTCTGTGTGGACGAACCGGAGTCTCATCGCTGAGCCGTTTCCATGGGAACGGCTCAGGGATGCTGAGAGGGGGGCCGGGCTTAAACTGTGAATCCCGTTCCTCTGCGCAGGACCCAACACTTACGACGACGCGGCCGCCTACATCCAAGCTCAGTTCGAGAGCAAGAACCGCTCCCCAAACAAGGAGATCTACTGTCACCTGACCTGCGCCACCGACACGGGGAACATCCAGGTGGTGTTCGACGCCGTGACCGACATCATCATCGCCAACAACCTCCGAGGGTGCGGCTTGTACTGAGCCCAGTTCTGGCCCGTCTTGTCCCCCCTTTGTCCCCTCTTTCTCCCTCCTCCCCCCCCCCCACCCCCTCCCCCCCTTCTTATTCCTTTGACACTGCTGTGGAAATGATGATGACGATGATGATTCTCCTGATTCTCTAAAGAAAAAAGAAAGAAAAATGCAACTAGGTACATATTAATAACGAGGATAATTGAAAAAAAAATAGGCCTACGTACATATAAAATCTATATATATATAATGTTTTTAGTTTCTCGTCTCCTTTCTTCTCGCTCCGACTCCCCCTGGTTTTTTTCTTTTTTCGCTCCGTTGCCAAGCGAACTCATTTGTTTCGGTCGAGAAACAGCCGCAGCCTTGAAAACTTCCCGAACAAAGTGGATGAGCGCCTCTGCCTCCTGCCGCTCGGCAGACGTTTTTGTATTCTCCCTCCATTAGGGCCGCTGCTTTTCCTTTCCCCCGCCCATCGCCTGCGTATTTATTACCAGAACGCTGGTTTTTACTCCGGTTTGGGCCTGGGCCGACGCCCAGATGTGCGCGTTTTGTCCGCCCGTCGCCGTGGCAACGGCGGCCTTGTCCATCTTTTCAGGTGGAGGAAAAAGAAAAAAAGGAGGCTCGGCTGGATCTGGCCCTAGGTCTTTTGTTTACAGCGGGGAGGACTTTTTCAGACGTCTGCGGTTTTTGCGTCCGGGTCGCCTGTGACTGAGTTCAGAGCCGGTTTTCCACCAGGGGGGGGGGAAAACCGGGGGGGGGGGGGGCGGGGGGGGGGGGGGGGGGGGGCGAGCCGCGTCCGAAATGTCAGAGGCTCTGAGCCGTTTAGATGTGATAGACACGCTCCGCTGGAGCTCCACCCTCCTCCCAGTTTGAACCTGTCCCCCTCCTTTATTTATTGATCGATCGCCTGTCTCTGACCTCAGTGTCTCCATCCTTTTTCTCTGTTCTGTTCGTTTTCTGCATGGCGCCCAAAACACCTGGATTAAGGGGTCAAAGGGCACCCTCCAATTCCTCCTCTCGCTCCTCCTCTCTTACCCAGATAGCATGAGATACTCAAGCCTTTGTATAAAGAGACCAGTTATTGAATAATAATAATAATAATAAAGCTTGTGATATAAAGCTACTCATGATTACTGTTAAGATAAGAATTTGTTTTGGAAAAAGATGCAAAAAAAAAAAAAAAAAAAAAGCAACAGGGACTCTGAGGAGCCCCTCCGGTTCCTGGGTGGGATTAGGGGGGGGTGAGCGGGACCAGGCCAGTCGTAGTCGTAGCTGCAGGTCCCCGCTGGGACGCAATCAGTCGAAAAGGGACTCAGATCTGCACTTCTGTCCGAGAAAAACCACCGAGCAGCAGCGGCCAGGATGATGTAATATTATTAACAGCTAATCTTTCTCGTGCTTCGTAGCTCCACTTTTCTTTCAGTGGGTCTTTTTTTTTAAAGAGGCCGCTGGGCAGCGGGCTGATGAGGACAACCCCCCCTCCCCAGACCCCCCTTAACCCCCCCCCAAACCCCCCCCCACCCCATCCCTCGACCATTTTGCCTGCATTAGAACCGCGTCCTCACTTTAGCCCGACGCAGAACTACTGATATGATATGATAGCAGTGTGTGTTTTCTATGATTTGGGGGAGGCAGCCCCTGTTTTTTCCCGGGGGTGGGGGGGGGGGCACCCGGGACGCCGCATGCTCGCACACCCACACTGTACAAAGCCATCTCTCTGCTTCTGTCTGCTGGGCTCGGCGCACACTTCCAGGTCTGTAACGAAAAGCACAGTTTCCACACACACACTGAACACCGCACACACACACACAGTAGATTTGGAAATTTGTTATTTATTCATTCCTAAACTATGTTTCCCCTTTCATGGATCTCTCTGCCATCTATCTATAGAAACCTGTCTCTGGCCTTTTTGCGTTCTAGTTTTTAAAAGAGCAAACTGTATAATGACATGATGAAGCCGTTTTTTGCCATTCTGTTCCTGTTCTCTTCACCTTTTTTACCTCTCTGTTCTGTTCTCTACCCAGTGAATGCTCTTTCTGTGCAGCTTTTTTCTCTCCCTCTCCTCTTCTTTAGTGAATGGTTGTTATTTCATGTGGGATGTCCGTGCTGGAAAAACCAATCGAATGTAGTGTTTACATTAAAAAGCCACTGTTTTCAGCCTGTTTCCGTCTCTGACTCACTCAGTTTGTCCTCTAATAACGCCGTTCGGCGGATCTTCATCTGCAGCTGCTCAGAAAACAGGACACACGACTCGGGTTCAGCTCACAGGGAGAAAAACTCACTAACCCCCCCCAGCTACCAGCAGCTGCTGATCAGTCCACTCATCAATACACTGATCAGTGATCAGTTATCTGATTACTGATCAATACACCGATCGCTGATCAGTTCACTGATGAGTGATCAGTTGTATTATTAATGATTAGTTCTCTGATTACTGATCAGTTCACTGAACACTGATCAATACACTGATCACTGATCAGTTCTCTAATTACTGATCAATAAACTGATCATTAATCAGCTTTCAGGGGTTTTAACACAACGCCAAGGAGGAAAGACACCAGAAGATTTCATTTAAAGGTCAAAGGTCATATAGGACCATCTGGATTCATAGATGGATGAATACATGGATGGATGATACCATGGATGATTAGTGGATGAATACATGGATGTTGGATGGATGGATGGATGGATGGATGGATGGATGGATGGATGATAACATGGATGATAGATGGATGGATGAATACATGGATGGATGAATCCATGGATGGACGAACACATTAATGAATAAATGGAATAATACATGGATGAATCAATGTATTATTCCAAATAGTCATCCATGTATTCTTTCATTCATCCATCTATCATCCATGTATTCATCCATCCATGTATTCATCCATAAATGTATTTATCCATGAATTCATCTATCATTCGTTTATTCATACATGTATTCATTCATCCATTTATCATCCAAGTATAAACCACTGAAAAATCAACGTTTTAGGTCTCCAGATGAAGGAAAATCATTGGTGTGTTCAATCTCAGCTTTAACTGCTTTTTTACAGTTTGAAATCTAAAATGCTTTTAGACATTTTACACCAATCATGTTCTTATTGTGGGATTAAAATGTTGTAAATAAGTCATTTGGACCCACAGAACCAAATAGGAAAAACATTTAATTAAATCTATAAATAAACATTTTAAATCTAAAGATCTAAAGCTAAACCCACTGAGCCCTTATAAAAAAAACTACCTGTACCAGGACAAAGTGGAGTTATCAAACACAAATTAATTTGGGAATTAGATACATTTCTAAAAGACGTTTAAAAAAAAATCTGAATATAAGATATTCAAACTCTGAATTTCTAGATAAGAACCTTTAAAGGACGTCTGGCTGCTATGAGGGAAAATAGAAAGAAATTTAAGGTGAATGAAGACTTTTTAAACTGACCTTTATCCTTCCAATTTTGCATTGTGTCCTAATCAAACTGCTGCTCTGCTGAGCTGGACACAACACTGGCTCATCCCTTGAGTTAGGGGCCTTTTTTCTGCCTGAATGACAAAAAACACATTCCTCTGAAAAGGCTCAGCTACAAGAACTGAAAACCAGAGAAGAAGCTGCAGGAAAACTGCAGAGAATCCCCTTTAAAGAATGCAGCAGATGAGCGTATGATTAAAATAAAAAAGAAACATGTTCAGGGATCAAAGGACAGAAGAGGGGAAATGAAATTGTGACGGTTCAGTTTTTTTTTTGTTCCCTGTTCAGAGCCAGCAAAAAGAGAAGCTCCACACCAAACCCAGACTTCCTCTCTCT